AAAAAAAAAAAAAAAAAAAAAAACTGAATATATCATGCTTCAATGTTTTTGTTAGAACTAGAAATATAAATAAAAATATAATTTGTTTACGTTTTCTTGGAGTTGAATTGAATTGGGATAAATGCTTGGACCGGGTGGCCTTGGCATGTAATATCCGCCAAAATTTGAAACTTGATTGACCTATTCGTGTTACATAAACAAGGGAATATCATGCTTCATATTTTCATTAGATTAACAGTAAAGAATATAGTGTTCTAATACAATTTACTATACCTCATTATCTAATGTAGCTCTAAAAGCAGTCGGACCGTTGCTATTGGCTTCCAATGTTTTCATAGGCGCCTATCCATAAAAATATCTGAAAAATAAATTTATATGCATTATATAATAGACATAAAAAAATATGTTCATTTATACCTTTGTGCATTTCAATTTCTTTGCTTTAGTCTCCTTAAGCTTCTTGTTTTGATTCTTTCTTTTAAGCTTCTGAACCACGGCTTCCAATCTCGAAATTTTTCTTTTAGTAGCAGGACGCCCTTTCCCTCGAGTAACCACAGGACTCAAAACTTTATTTTCTCCACCTAACACTTTCTGTTGCTCAACATAATTTTGAGGCTGTGAAGAAAATGCTTGAGCTGTTTCCTCATGTACTATATCATCACTGCTAATTCTTAACTTCAATTCTCGTATGCCTTTCATTACCAACTCATATTTTTCTTCATCATCAGCAGCAATAATAGCAACTTCGTGGAATGCCTTGCATATTTTTTCACATCGTTGCATCTGCTGGCTTAAAGGATTGTATCCAATTCTCACCAACGTATATCTTCGTTTTATGTCCTTTCTCCATCGAGGCAAAATGTAGCGAGGATGAACTTCATTTATTTTTCTGGCAATTAGCACTGACATGATATGTCTACAAAGAATTCCTCTAAACTCGAACAAACGACAGACACAATTAACTTCATGAGTAGACTCATCAAAGGATACAGTAAAAGTCACATCTTTTCTAATGTCGCCAACTTTTACATCTTCTTCAACTTTGTACTCATAGACAGAATTTTCAATTTTAACGAGAGAAGATTGGCAGTAAAATTTGTCCCTCAACTCATCTTGAAATTCTCTAAATTTCACATTTGTGTAAGCACTTTGAAATTGCTTTTCAATATCATAATTGCTCAAGCAATCAAACCGAGAATTCCAAGATTCATAATCTGCCACATTCTCTTTCTCAACCTTTCTTTTCAATGCTTGTTCATATAAAGCAACAAATTGCTTCAAAGTGGTTTTATGATTAACAAACCCTTTAAAAAAAGCATTCATACCTTCACTCCTTTGTGTGGTCGACATACCTGCCCAAAATGAGTTTTTCACATACGTAGGAACCCAACGTTCTCTATCAGTATATAATCCCTGCAACCATTCATTATCATGAAGATTATAACCACCAATCATCAGTGACCACCCACTGTCAAACTCGTCTTCAGTAAGAGCATCATAAACAACTGTTTGCATGAAAGTCTTGATGTCTTCATATTCGGAATATCCACTCAACTTTTCTGGAATTTTTTTCATTATATGCCATAAGCACAATCTATGTCGAGTACTATTGCCGAAAACAATTTCAATGGCATTTTTCATGGCCTTACATTGATCAGTGATTATGCCCTTAGGACGACATCCAGACATGCACTTTAGCCACGACTCAAATAACCAGACAAATGAATCTGTGTCTTCATTAGTTAACAACCCACAACCAAACAATACAGATTGTCCATGATGATTCACGCCGACGAATGGAGCAAAGGGCATCTTATATTTGTTAGTTAGGTACGTCGTATCAAACGTGATCACATCTCCAAAATCTTCATAAGCAGCCCTACTTCGCCCGTCTGCCCAAAACAAGTTTCTAATACGAGACTCCTCATCAATGTCCACGGCTGAGAAAAAGTTTTTATCGACTTCTTGCATTTGAGCAAAATACTTGCAAACTGCTTCAGCATCTCCAACACCAAGTTTGCTTCTTCTTACTTTCTCGATATGGTTGCGACAATCTTTCTCATTAAAGGTAACATTCTCATACCCATTAGCTTCTACAATAAGAGAATGATAGTTCTTACTCACACCAATCCCGGCTTCATCATTTATCTCAAGCCTTCTTTTCACATGATCAGCTATCTTTCTGTTGCATCGAAAATGACGTGATTTTCCCGGGCTTAACAAATGGTCGTGATCCAGATGAACTGTTGTCACTCGAATATTCCCATCATCACACAATGTCAATCTTATCTTGGCTTTACAACCCGTTTTTGTTGAAAGCTTTGGGGCAAATGAATTCTTCCCTGCAGATTTTTTCTTCTGGTCATTTTTAACACATGCAAAAGTAAAGTATCTAACAACACCATCATCTCCTCGTTTTGAGCTTCTTTTCATGACACCAAATCCCTTATGTATTCCATAATTAGAGTAATATGAATATGCTTCTTCTTGAGATCTAAAAACCATTCCTAATGTTGGTTCTTCAATAATCTCATTCTCGTTCATTATCTGTAAAAAATAAAAAATAAATAAATAGAAAATATTAAAAAAATATAAAAATATGCATAAATATAACAATATCATTTAAAGATTTCCAACATAAATTGAAAACACAAATATTAATTTTAAATGCTTTAGATTAGTAGACATGGTAACAATAGCATAAAATTCAAAATTGAAAATTTTAGATTAATAACTAAAAAAAAAAAAAACTAATATTAAAAGATAAATAAATAACTATGCCTACAACTAGAATTAAAGTGTACAATTTTTTTACGTATTCAAAATCCCTAAACTTGTAATCAAATAAATAATAAAAGCATAAATAAATGATATAGTTAAATTCTGTAAAGCAGGTTTAATGAAATCCCTACAACCATACCTTGTGACGGCGACAGAAGCAGGTTGAATTAGAATTAGAGGGGAACGAAATAGGCCTGAGAGGTACAGAGGGTTTAAAACTTTTAATAAGATATAATTAAGAGATAAAGAATAAAGACTTTTAACATGACTTATTTGTCTTTTGTACAAAATAAATATATTTATTAATCTTTTAACACATGACACGTCAGGGAGTGGGTTTTATGGAGTAGATATTGGAGGGGGCTATAGCGGTACCGAAAACTTACTGCGTTGCAACTTTATATGCGCTGTAAGTTTTCATCACGCTTTGAAGGGAAAAAGGCTACAAAAGAGGACAAAAAAAAAAAGTATATTTGAAATTGATAGTG